CAGATTTCAAATGTTAGTTTCAGTTCTGACTCTTAATGTCGATATGCTAGGTTTCTACTTCATATCACTACACCCCTTTGGTAATCAAAATAATAATATTTACCCCCATTAATGGAAATAAAGTTTAGAATCACACAGCTTTACAGAGGAAACAGACGCAGTTACTTCAAGCTAAAACACTATCTGGAAAAAACATTTTGATGCATGCTCAATCACCCAGGAAATTAAATCCCAAAAGGTTAATTCTATTCATTTTATTATACTCATGGCCATTGATCAATGATCAGTGGTCTTTGATCAGTGGTTGTTGATCAATGGTCATGACATTTTACATATTAATGACCAAGAAACTGACCTCACAGCCCATTGTTCATTAACTGGGTTAGTTTCAGTCGCTGTGCAAAGGTACTGTTTATAAGGTTGGGGAAACCCACAGTCAGCTGAGACTGAAGAAGTCACTTAGATAAGTGGTGAACCATTTTTCCACTGAAAATGCTATGTCCAGTTGAATAGATTCAACCTTTTGGGCTCTGACAGGAAGAGGTCTGGCGCACCCAAAGCCACAACTAAATCAAAGGACAAGTTTCTGAGAGTTAACAGCTTGTATGATAGGTGGCTCACAAAAAAAACAGCTTTAAGCACAACTTAATAGTGGTCGTAGTAAGAAAATCTCAGTTTCAACTGTGAAGAGAAGACCTCGAGCTGCAGGTTTGACAGGACGAGTTGCAGCAAGAAAGCCGTTGCTAAGACGTCAGAATAAGGCAAAGTGGCTTGCCTGGACCATGAAACAACACCAATGGACTACTGAAGACTGGAAGAAGGTATTATGGAGTGATGAATCAAGTTTTGAAATTTCTGGTTCATCACGCATAATCTTTGTACGCCTTCGAGCAGGTAAAAGGATGGTTCTACAGTGTGTGACATCAACTGTCAAACATGGAGGAGGAAGTGTGATGGTCTGGGGCTGTTTGCTGGATCCCGGGATGACTTTTTCCAATAATAGTGTAAAGGCTTTTTCTATATTTCTTTTTTTTCTGTTTTCTCAAAACAAAGTACAAAAAATATACAGTTAAAATAGACAGTGGACAATGCTGAGTCATGTGATAACTCCACCCTTAAAAAAAGAGTAGGTTTTACATGTCACAGTTTCTGATACTGTGAGAAACTCCCCATCAAGGCTTATTCCCAATTACATTTCAAGAGCAAGATCTATTTTGGGGACTGTGCGTGTGTGATCTTATTAGTTGTTTTAATTTTTGCTGGAGAGTGTTGGAGAAAGTTTCTCTAAAAACACATTTTAGGAAATAGTCAACAAATTGAGAAAGTGATAAATTGGTGGATCTCTACTATAAACCATAATGACAAGAAATAGATGTAATTTATTGTAGCAGTAATGCAAACTGGTCTTCTCACAGAATTAAAGAATTTAAGAGCCAATCAATCAAAACTTGGTTTCCCAAGCATTGACCTTATCTATGTCATGTCTATCTGTCAGTGCTGCATATAATCAATTAGCCACAACAAGAAAAAACAAAAGAGCTTAATGACATTAATCGGTTCTTTGCAATACTCTGCTAGGAAAATTCGACCCAGAGAGGTCTTATTGTACAAGACACTGAATCCATGGATCTGCTAAGTGCTAAACGCCTAGGACACTATACAGTACTTTTGGACTTGAGGATCTCATAGGTGATTAGACAGCACAAGGTTTCAGTGTTGTGGCTGATTAGTGTATGTCTCTTCCTGTAAATCTACAATGGGGGAAGTAAGTTATCTGATCCAGTGCTGAATGTGGTTCAGTGCTGACTGTTTCCACAGTCTCTGTTTCCACCTCTGTGCTTCATTGTGGCGATGGAGTTCTTTGGGTCATATTAAGCATTTCTCTTCCTCTAAATACAGTGTTGATGTTCATGCCAACAGAGCTCGGCTTTAGTTTGATGTGACCACAGCACGTTCTCCCAAGCCTTCTCTTAATCATTCTAACGTTCACTGAAAAACTTAAATTTGGCCTGTTTATTTCTTGATCCAAGGTGACCTTGTGGTTCCTACAAGATGATTCAAAAGATTGTAACATGTTATCAAAGATGTTCTTGGTGACTGTGGACCCAGCTGGTTTCAGATCATTACCAAGCGTCTTTTGTGTAGTTTTGAGCTGATCCACCACATTTCTCAAGATTATTCTCACCCCATGAACAAGATGTTGCATGGAGCTCCAGACCAGCGGTGATTGATGGTTATTTCGTATGTCTTCCATTGTACCAACGGTGGTCATATTTTCACAGAGCTTCTTGCTGATGGTCTTCTAGCCCATTCCAGCCTCGTACAGCTCTACAGTCTTGCTTTGAAACTGATTCTGTGGGCAGGTGTATTTTATACCCATATACAAGTTGCAATCAAGAGTAGCTGAAATAGATTAATTGATTATAATTTGTGTGCCACATGGAGACAGCCAACCTTTGGAGCCACAGTTTCTTGTAGGAGATCAAATACTTATTTCACTCTACTATATGCAAACCAATAGTTTTTTCTGGATTTTTAGTTGATATTCTCTCTCTCGCTGTCAAAATGAAACCACCATAAAAATGAGACACTGTTTGTTTCTTAGTAAGTGAAGGAAAATACAGAGGTATGCTATTTTCCTTCTCCAGTGTTGTGTTCCTGCTTTTTCAAAACAATGCTTTTTTTCTGCCTGCTTTTTCCCCCACATAATTTCCTTATAGATTATTAAAGTGTTCTGACTCTGAGGCTGATCCCTGCATAGCTGGATTTGTTCACTCTGTCCTCTGACATCTGACTTGGATGTGGTAATAAATTTCTTCAGTGTAGCATTTGTAATGTAAATTACAGGATCTAGTGGAGTTATTATCATACAAGGGTCAAATGCTAAGGACCTAATAAAATGATTCATAGCCTGCCTGTCAGAATTTTGTGGAGACACTTGGTTAAGTCTCCCCAGCCACTCCACTTTACTCTGCACTCTTTACTTTGCTCAGGCCATATGTTTAAAAAAAAAGAAAAAGGACAAAAAAAACAGATTTGGTAATACTTTTCATTTTAAACTCTGCCTGCTTTACATCGTTTTACCGGGTGACACTATGATACTATATTGCTTCCCTAACTACAAATGTAGTTATAATGGAAAAAGGATTTTTCAAATAATATTATATAATTGTACTTCTAACCTCTGTGCTCTACATCAAACTAACATATGTCCAATTACCATCCATCCATCTTCTTCCGCTTATCTGGACCGGGTCTTGGGGCCAGCAGCCTAAGCAGAGAAACCTAGTGTACCCTCTTCCCAGTCACCTCCTCCAGCTTGTCCGGGGGAACACCAAGGCGTTCCCAGGCCAGCCGAGAGATATAATCCCTCCTGCGTGTCCTGGGTCTGCCCCGGGGCCTCCTCCCAGTGGGACATGCCTGGAATACCTCACCCAGGAGCCGCCCTGGGGGCATCTTTATCAGATGCCCGAACCCCCTCAACGATCTCCTTTCGATGTGGAGGAGCAGCGCCTCTACTCAGAGCCCCTCATGGATGGCTAAACTTCTGACCCTATCTCTAAGGGAGAGACCAGCCACCCTTCGGAGGAAGACCATTTCTGCCGCTTGTATCCACAGTCTCGTTCCTTCGTTCACTACCCACAGCTTGTAACAATAGGTGAGGGTAGGGAAGAGGATCGACCGGTAAATTGAGCTTTTACACTCAGCTCTCTCCTCTTCACCACGATGGACCGGTACAGCATCTGCCTTACTGCAGCCGCAGGACCAATAAATCTATCAATATCCTGCTCCCTTCTCATGTCACTTGTGAAAAAGACTCTGAGATACTTAAACTCCTCCACTTGGGGCTGGAACTTGTCCCTGACCCAGAGCTTGCACTCTGCCCACTTCCAGCTGAGGTCAATGGCCTCAGATTTGGAGGTGCTGATTCTCATTCCCATCGCTTCAAACTCTTCCCCGAATAGTTCCAGTGCGAGCTGGTGGCCATCACCTGATGAATCCAAGTCCTGGTGGCACGTGCACTTATGGACACTTATGTTTGAACACGATGTTCGTTGTGGACAGACTGTGGTAAATTGCTTTAGGTCATAAAGCCACATAGTGTGTGACTGCCTGATGTGTTATGTGATATTTAATAACATGAAAGTTGTCAGACTTCATTTCTGAAGGTGTGATTTAAGTTTTAGATGAACAGTTTGACTGAATAATTTTGTCTGATGTTTTTTATTTTAACTTGTTTTGTGTTTGTTTTTGTTGTTGTTGTTTTTTTGTCAAAAAGTCTTTCAAAAAATATTCAGCTAAACAGCTAAATGTTTGGATCTGACATTTGCAATTGTATACAATAAATGGATGCAGTTTTCACTTTGTTATGTAGTGCTATAAATTGAATTGAACCAAACTGAATTGAAAGTAGAAATGTTAGCCACTTGCCCAACCTGTGCTTCCTAACAAGGCAATGATACATTTCATTGCCAATTATTGTCATGATTGACTTCTACTCTCAGGCAGTCATATACTGCAGGCTTGGTCAGAACCATTTGTTTGCTTGGGAACAGGTTGGGTATTCTAACCCAGATTTTTACCTGTTCCTCATCCTACACAATATAGCTTTGGTGCTGTAAGTAAACGTTGCAGCATGTAAGGAGGAAAGTGACAGGCCACCACGCATTCTTCGCTCATTTAAAATTTAGTATGCAGATGTCACATCTCCACCAAGTGGCATTTGTGTATCATACACACTTGGATGAAATTCTAACGGAGCAGATTGCATGGCTTTTAGGGTGTCCTATCTTCTCCAAGAGTCCATGTTATCTAGAAATTCCTTAGTTGTCGTGTATGTCACCTTCTTCTGAAGCTGAATGAGTAAACCTGCTCAAACATCATCAGCGTCAGGAATCAAAAAATAATCATTATAATAATCAATCTATGTAGACTGTGAAATGTGTGCTTCTTCTCTAACCTCTTTTTTTTTTTTTGTCCTGGTCTCTCCTCTCCCTCAGTGCTATGACTCAGCCTGGACAGCAGCTCTTACCTACATAGAGGTCACTTTACCTCTCTTTCTATCTGCTTTGGTCCAGAGGATGCTGGGAATGTGTCGCGGGCGCCGGAAGTTCCTGGTGGCCTCCCTCGCCCTGCTCTTCATCCCAGCACTTACGTGGCTTTACCTGTCAGTCGGGAGCTTTCAAGGTAAGGACAATAAGTATTGGCACAGTTGTTTGCAACTTTTATGGCTTTAAATTATTTAGGTTTCTGTGGGGGTTTTTTGACCATTTTGAAACAGTCTAACAATAATGAAAACACTAATTAGAAATGAATACATAAACACATAAAACAAGAACAAGAAGAGCCTATAGAGTTCTTCTTGGAAAAGCAAACTGTGTTTGGTACATTATCACATTCAGATCATAATTCTGATTGCAAAAGCTACCAGACAGGACAGGATTTTTTTTAAAAAGTGATGCAAGACTGGGAAACTTTCTCCTGTTCTAACTGTTTTAAAATTAAAAAATTCATGATAAAAGGTTGTTTTTTTTCAACATTTTATTTTTGACTTTATTCTTTTCTAAATTTAACACATCGTTAAGTTTTTAAATATTACAGATAAATATTACCTATTTTGAAAAATCTGTTTGAGCTGATTAAATGTTAACAAAATGCTGGACTGGTTCTCATATAGTCCTTTTCTAATCTGAGCACTTAAATTGCTTTTATACGACTTGCCTCATTCGCCCATTTATGCAAGCAGTGTTTCTATATTTTTTCTATCGAACAGTCACATACATTTAATGCATCATAGGGCAACTCTAGGTTAGTGTCTTGCCCAAGGATATTTGGCATGAAGACTGGAGCAGCCAGGGATCAAACCACCAACCTGCTCTACCCCCTTAGCTACAGCCATCCATAGTAAAGATAAAAGTTTAGGTTGCTGGGATTAAAATAAGGAACAGTACTGTCATACTTTTCAGTTCATGTCATGCCTTAATATTAAAGCCCGAGGCTTATCCCAGAAAGTGTGAAGATACAAATTTCCTGTAGACAAAGTGACCTTTCTCTCCCAACTTTCTTCCTGAGGTGGTATGTTAATGAATTACTGAGGCCTGTCTAAAGTTGATTACTTCCTCCAGACAATAATGTCCAAAAGTTCTTGGAGCCATTTTAATCACTTTGACTCACAGGATTGAAATGCTGCAGTAGTGCCATTATTAATTATGATTAAATTGGCAATTTTGACTTGGGGTCACAGTCACTGGAGAGCATATATGTGTATACACTCCCATAATGGAATAGTCACCAAGGTCTGCAAAGTAATTATTAGATTTGGCAGTAATTCCTGGTGGTGGGATGCAGTTCCTGGGAGTGTGATAAGCTGTGACAGGGCCTGGCTGCAGGTTAAGCCTGGATGTGTGAGACAGGACCGATGTGCTACTACTGGCTCAAATTCAGTTTTACATTTTGACTCTATCACTACCTCTCAGTTCAGTTCATTTTATTTGTTTTATTGGCTTGATCATATTCATAATATTGCCAAAGCAATGCGTTTTATACATTTTGAAACTATGATCCTTGGACTGATCCCATTTGAACTGGTTTGTGAACAAAGCATGAATCCAGTAGTTATGTGGCTCTTTAAAATGTCTTACATACATCATGTTTTACATACATCAATGTTTATTTGTAAAGACGCTTTTATGCAGGTTGGTACAATTCTTCACAGGTGACTCTTAAGCTGATAAGCAAAATGTAATAAGACAAAACAAGTAGTGGTAAGCAATTTAAAAGGAAAATGTAACACGCCATAGAAATAAAGTAAACTGTAAAGAAGCCCCCAAAAAGTTTTTAAAATAAATAGATTTCTAATCAATTTTTAAAGGTTTTTAAGCAAATCTGAGACCAGAAGTTTTGGTCTAAGCTGAAATCCTAAACTGACTAATGTTTGTAATTCAATTTTATTAGGTTTAAATTTCTTTTTTACTATAGATTAAATTTGTTGTTATTCTAAAAATCTAATCTTGTTAATCACATACTGTATATCTATTTTGTGAGATGGAATAAATATATATATATATAATAATAATAATATATAATATAATAAATATATGTTCCAAGTATTTCATTCCTTTACAATTCCATTCTGGGAAGTTAATCATATTAGAAGTCGAATGCCTTTTATTGTGACTATACAGATGTACAATGAGATAAAGAGGATCTCCTACTCGGTGCAGACATGTGGGGAAAGGGGGGGCAGTTTCTGCAGCACTACATATGAACAGTATTCAAAAATATAAAATGTATAAATATACAAATTGGGGGGAAAAATATTAAGACAGGGGTGTCAAAAATGCAGCCCATGGGCCACATCTGGCACGCGATGCAATGTGGCCTGTGAGAACATTTCATATGTCAGTTATTAATTAAGAAACTATATACAAAGTGCCCTTGACTGGCAGAGATGCAGTAATGTCTTTATGTAGCACAGAGCCATGGCTCAATGTCTGATTTCTAAATGAGTCTCACAGGTCTGAATGTGCACTTAAAACCATTTATAATTTGATCTGCTGCTCACTGGCCTCCTGAGAATGCAGACTTCAACATTGTTGAAGCAGTGTGGGATCATCTTGACAGAGAATGGAAGAAAAGACAGAAACATCCAAAGAAGAGCTTTAAAAGAAGCCTGGAGAACTATTTGTGACCGACATTGTAATTTAACCTGAAAAACTTTGTTGTTTGTTGTTTTCACTGTAGAGGATGTGCAAAAGGGTGCAGCTAACTACGGTATTGTACATTAGATGGAGGAGTTGTACAGGGAGATGGCCACAGCGAGGAATGATTTCCTGTGTTGTTCAGTGGTGCATTATGGGTAATCTCAGTCTCTCACTGAACATGCTCCTGTGACTGGCCACCAGGTAATGGAGTGGGTGGGAGGTATTGTCCAGCATTGTCCTTGTCTTGGACAACATCCGCCCCTCTGACACCACCTTAAGGGAGCTCCATCCCCACAGCATTACTGGTCTTGAGGTTCAGTGTATTGAGTCTTTTGGCGTCTGAGAGCCTCAACCAGCTGCTCCAGCGAGCAACAGCATAGAGAATGGTACTGGCCACACAGACTCATAAAAAATTCTCAGAAATGAAAGAAAGTTTTCCAACAAAGTTCAGGTTGTGCTGAAGAATGAAGATGGTCGTACCACTCCTGAATCAAGCCTAAAACTGCACTATGTAGCACAGCACTATATGTTTCTGTTGTACCATTCCAGATTAATAAGATGTGTCCATGGGTATGAGCCATGGATAGGAATAAATAATAGCTGTAGCTCTAGCCTTATACACTTGACGCACCTCTTTTTGGACAAGCTACTTACCTGCTTCAATTTAGATTTGTTTTTGTGCAGTGACGTTTCATATCAGTGGTTTCTCTGTATAGAAAACCCACACTGGGGCTGGTCAGTGTGGGTTTTTCTATTAGTATTCAACTTCATATATATTGGCCACTGACACTGATGTTCTTAATCATGTTAAATTAGTTTCTCCCTGTTATAATTCCACAGTGAAGCCCCTCCCTCTTTCTCCATTGGAAGCCCTGTCATCCACCCCGGTGGGCGGAGCCGGTGAACGACAGGCCTTAGAGTTGCGGGTTCGGGTGGTGGAGGAAGAGAACCGGGCGCTGCGCCGAGAACTTAGCCGTCCACCTAGGAGCCCATCTGCACAGCTTCCGAGCAATAATCACCGTGGCAACCAAAGCCGAACACATTCAGAGGAAGGCACAGGTGACAATGAGAGCCAGAAAGCTGTTACAGTGGGTAATAGCTCAGACTGTGTCCGACACCCAGTGGTGGATAAGTGCGAGGTGAGATATGTTTAATTTTGTCCTAGCAGGTTCCACAAGCAGGTTTTCTAATACCACAGTGTTCCACCCACAATAGACCATTCAAAGTTTCTGCTTCTACAGGATGCCTTTAGGCATATTTTATCCTACTCTTCTAGTTAATTGCTGGCCTCCTCAACGAGATATGACTCTGTGACGTGGCTTGGTAATGTAAGCTTTAATATATCCATGTTGTGTTTGACACAGTATCAGTGTCCTGCCATGAATCATAACGTACTGTGATCCACAGATTCAAGAGCCCTCAAATCAGTTATGCTGAATCACATATTTCCCTCAATATCCTTTGTATGTGACAGAAGCCAATTGGGTGAGGGGTCTTTTGCCCACCTATTCTGGTTTTGCCCCACTCTTAACCGCATTCTGGTCTGCAGTGTTTCAGTGGTTTTCTGGATAATTTTTCTGTAACATTGCAATAACATTGCAAATCAAAATCTGGCAATATTTAGATGCTCCTCAGAGTCACGTCAGCTGGCGCTCTATATTCAGATGGCTGTGCACCTTGGGATGGAGGTGGCAAATAAACTCATCCTACTGACTTGGAAGTCAGCTACCCAACCAAGTTTTGAACACTGGCTCAATGAGATGTCTGTTCTACAACTGAAAAAGCTTCAACTAAATACAGTTGGTACTAGAGACAAATTTGGGAGGATGTGGTGGCCTTTATTGGCTGAGTGTAACATCAATCTGCGCTTATAAGAGCACTTTATGTCAACTCATTTTATGTCAGCTTTTTCTGTAGAGTGATTTGCTAATTCATTTGTTTATCCGAGGGTTCCTACTGTGACTATAACCTCTGTTTCTGTACCTTTTCTTCTTGTTGAACTTTCTCATGGTCTGGCAGCCGACATATTTGTCTGTTTCTTGTTTGAACTGTTTTTAATTAATTTTTTTATTTATATTCTCTACTAAACTGCTAAATAAGATATTGCTAAAAAATAGGCTTCAAATCATAAAAGCTCACCTCAATGACAAGAAGAGGACTTTCAGAATGGGCAACAGAGGTGAGAATGGTTCAGGCACTACTGAAGGACAAGGTCATAGAGGGTAAGGACGACTCCAGGAGAAAGCTGGAGTGGAAACTCCAGCAGAACAGCATGAGAGAGGCGTGACATGGCATGAATCACCTAATTCAGGCCCATCCAACAGCAGAGGAGCTGGGGACAATGAGGACAGAGCCAACGAGCTGAATGTGTTCTTCAACAGATTCAACACTGCAGTGAATGCTCACTCCCCTACTGACTTACCTGTAGTCAGCCTGCGATCCACAGCCACGCCACTCTCTCTACACCAGTGGTTCTTAACCTGGGTTCGATCGAACCCTAGGGGTCAGGGGTTCAGCAGAGCCGTGACATGCACGGCTCATTTTGTGTACCAATAAAAAAACATATCCATGTCTTGAATTTGAAAAAAATCATATTTTATTTTTCACTAAAGAGGGGTTCAGTGAATGCGCATATGAAACTGGTGGGGTTCGGTACCTCCAACAAGGTTAAGAACCACTGCTCTACACATTGCACCATAGCTTCCTGTAAAAGTCCTGACACTCCTCCCCCAGGTATTACTTTCAGCCAGGTTCAGAGACAAATGAGAAGACTCCCCTTAGACAAGTCTGTTGGACCAGACGGGGTGAGTCCTCGTGTCCTCAAGGCCTGTGCCCTCCAGTGTTGTGGAGTCTTTCATAAATGAGTCAGAGTCGTCAGAGGGTCCTGGTGCTGTGGAAGACATCATTCCGGTACCACAGACACCATGTCCCAGTGGCCCCCAGGGTTACAGACCTTTCGCTCTGACATCCCAAATCATGAAGACCCTGGAAAGACTCGTCTTTGACCAGCTCGACCTACTGTCAGGTCACATCAGGATCCCCTTTTCCAGTCCATTCAGAACTATCAGACCAACCCTCTTGGGTGATAAGCCGATAGCGATGCAGGTGGATGCCTCTTTTGTGTCCAGGATTGTTAATTACCTAAATGAATGACCACAATATGTGCGTCTTCAACATTTGTGTATGGCAAGGTGATCAGCAACACAGGGACACCACAAAGGACCAATTGTGGATGTTAGCAGGACCAGGAAAACTGCGACTCTGTTTCAGTCCATGCAGTTGATGTGAACATTGTGTAGGACTATAAATACCTCGGTGATAATAAACTGGATTGGATTAAAGAGACCACTACACTGTGCAGGAAGGGCCAGAGTCGTTTCTATTTTCTGGGGCAGCTAGTCTTTTAACATTTCTCAGACAATGCTTATTTCTCTGTACAACTCCTCCATCTAATGCACTGTACAGTTTAATAGTTACACCCTTAATATTTACTAGTGCTGTCAGCGTTAATCTCGTTAAAATGACGTTAATACAATAACTGCATTAACGCGGCAAATCTCCTTTAGCGAGTTAACGCGGATCACTCTGTGCGTGGGGCTGCACAGGGTCAACGCGTTAACAACGCTAACGGTAACGTCATTTTAACGAGGTTAATGCTGACAGCACAAATATTTACACATCCTCTACAGTGAAAATAAAGTTTTTAAGTTTAGAGTACAATTTAATCTCTGTAATATTCTGTATATTTATAATTGACCTATTTATATATAGACAAGATCTATTTGTTATATTTTGCAACTCTGTAATATGATGTATTATTTAATTTAGTTCAGTTACTGTCCTTATTGTCTGGGAGTGTGATAGACCGAGTTGAAAAAACAGGAGTCGTCCCAGGAATTATTAGAAAAATATAGTTTCCATTTATTTAACCCCCAAAATTATATTTACAAGACTAATAAATGTTGAGCTCATAAAAGAGGTCAAAGAAACAAAACTGAACTTAGGCACAGACTGCAAACTTAACAAACCAAATGACTGCTCAAACATACATAATTGACCTAAAACATGAAATGACATACAAGGGTATATATAATGGCTGATCAGACCATTGTGACACATGAGGGGTAACAAACAAAACAAATCATAAACCACAAACGATGCAGTACAATCTAGTTTGTTAATAAACTAAACACTAAAGAAGAAAATCAAAAAACCCCATTAAACCCTAAACTCAAATATTTAATTAAATACAAATACTTTGTTTTTAAAGTAAAGAAAACACACATTCCCCCCTTCAGCAGGAAGTGGTGGTGTGGTCCAATTATCTTCCTTCATATTTAATGGTTTCAAACCCTGGCTACCATCTTTTGTCCAGCAACTCCCAGGGATGATGGCAGGTAAGAAATAAAAAGACAAAGGTTAGTCAGAAAGCAAAGAAATGAAGTAGTATGAATACATAAGTAAACTAAATGTGCGCGCTTACAAATAGAACAAATGTATCCAAACCAATCAATGAAGTTATTGGCAACTAAAATGTCTTCTTCATTACTATGTTCAAATGAAGAATGAAAATACAGAAGTTACCGACTTTAGAGTGTGGCCACGGGTTTGGCCATTACAGGGAGCAACCATAACCATACAATTTCCTTAGGGATTAATAATGTATGCTGATTCTGATTGATTCTGATTCTAATTTTACTTATATAGCACCAAATCACAGCAGCAGTTGCTTCAATGGGCTTTTTATTGCGATGTAAAGACCTTCCCAGGAGTGGCCAGCCAACCAAAATTACCCCACTCATCCAAGAGATGACTTATCCATGAGGTCGCAAAAGAGCCAGAACAACATTGAAAGAACTGCAGGCCTCAATTGCCTCAATTAAGGTCAATGTTCATGACTCCACCATAAAAAAGAGACTGGACAAAAATGGCCTGCATGGCAAAGTTCCAACATGAAACCCCCTGCTGAGCAAAAGGAGCATAAAGGCTCATCTAAGTTTTGCCAGAAAACATCTTGATGAACCCCAAGATTCTTGTGAAAATATAGACTGATGAGACAAAAATTGAACTTTTTGGAAGGTGTGTGTCCCATTACATCTGGCATAAAAGTGATACAGCATTTCAGAAAAGGAGTGTCATAGCAACAGTAAAATATGGGGGTGGTAGTGTGAAGGTCTGAGGCTGTTTTGCTTTTGCAGAGCCTGGAAGACGTGCTGTGGTAAATGGAACCATGAATTCTGCCGTCTACCAAAATATCATAAAGGAGAACTTCCAGCCATCTGTTCAACTATATGTTGTGAAGTCAACATATATTTGAGAATTATTAGAATATCTGCTCTAAATGTATGAAGATATTATCATATGAGTATATAGTATAGTATCATAAAAGTATTATCAAATCTATTTCCTCAATCTTCTCATTAAAAATTCATTCGATTTTACAAAGCTTCATCTTACAGTTGAGTTTTATACACGTTTGAGAACTTTTGTTTGACAGTTACTATAATTGCCCTTTGGATTGAGGTGGAATGAGTTAATGAATGCTCCAACACACAATCAGTGTTTTGTTTTTCTTTTACTAAGCCACTTCACAGTTATACTTTGTTCCTTGTGCTGTGCACATCTCTCCTTCTTAATCGCTTTGTCATTTTCTCCTCAGACCATCCATGTGGCCATTGTATGTGCAGGTTACAACGCAAGTCGAGATGTGGTGACGCTGGTTAAATCTGTCCTCTTCCACAGGTACAGCAAATCTTTTCTCCTTCTCTTAAAATAACAGACTTGGTGGAGTATAATTCTTTTTTTCTTTTTCTTTTTGTGTACTCATATATACACACTGATTAGTTTATAATAATGTTTTCCAACAAATTGATGTATTCTGATAGAGTAGACTAGATACCAAAGTAAGACCCGGGCCTTTTAGTTATCAGTGTTATCCAGTTCAGGCCTGTCAGGTGATCTCAGCAGTTTATTGGTGTGAAATCGGTCTAACGATTGATGTACGGTTTGCACAGTTTGTCCTAACCCTAACCCAATTCAGGCAATCGGACTGCAAGATTGAGTTCCATATGGGCTGTGGCACGACATCCATTGTAATGGAAGATCATTCTCCTTCTGTGGATTTCCAGAAGGTCTAAAATTCGAAGTTCTCTGGGGACTTTGAGTCCTTTGATCTCCAAATCAAAAAATCTGACCTAAGAGCGAGGTCAGAGTTACTTCAAATGCACATTAACCATAGTTAACTGACAAATATCTATAAACATTTCTGCTTGAGGAATGAAGCATGAACAAAATTAGTTTTAAATTCAAGTTCTGTTTTTATTGTATTGTACAAATGACAAGTTCAAAATGTTTCTACATTTCACCAGTCATGAAACCAGAGTTAGTTTTGTTCTCCTAAAGTAATGCAAGTCACTTTGCATCAGAAATGGCTGTGACTTCACCACTTGAGGGAATAGCCCCTGGTGAGTTTTTGAAACTTTGCTCTGTTAAGCTAAGCTAAGCTTAAGCCTTGGAATAAATATTGCACAATAGATATCAGTGGGTTTCCCAAGTGGGTATGCTGCAGTCTTTCTGGTTGAAGTCTGCTTCTGACTGAATGCCTAATAGTGTCCATTTTTTTAACCTTCCACACTTTGCTGTGAATCTTTGTTGTTAATGGCCTTAGGGTCAATGTTAGAGTCTTCTCCACTTCGGAGAACGTCTCCCTAGAAAGTGGACATGTCTGCTAAGTCACTTTCATTTTCGGGAGCATCAGCAGTCAAGTGTTTTTCACTCTACAGTGGTCTCTGGATTATCATGAAACAAGTTTTCTCTGATCACTGTGTCATCGACGCCTAAGCAGTCTTCAGTTAAACTTGGCTGCACTATCTCACTATCAGCTCTATCAAAGCATGATTTAGGAACCTCATATATTGTGGTGAATTGGGTGGTTTCTTTGGGAAGCCTCTCATGAAGCCGGATGGTATCCTCCTCTGTCTCAGAAGGCTCAGTCTCATCATACTATTTAGCTGATAACCGCGTTATTGGCTTGTGCTTGAATTTTGTCGTAACAGGCTTCTCCCCAGTTGGTGTGATGAAGCCACACGGGAGTAAGAGATCTTGATGAACAGTTCGCCAAGAAGCTTCTTTGTTCTCAGGTTTTATGGTGTAAATTGGGAGATCTCTTATCTTGTTTTACCGCAACATAAACATCTGACTCCCACTCAGCAAGTTTATATTTCCCTCTCAGGCAGACAGCATGCACTAAAACAGACAATCTGGTTTGACAACCACACATTAATTCATAAGATGAGAATCCTGTTACATCATTCTTTGTACAATTGTATGGATGGACCGACAGTTTCGAATAGCTATGCCACTGTGATTTGCCTTTGTTTTCCAATGTGCCAAGCATGTTCAGCAAAGTCCTATTAAAACAGTCCACAGTGTTTCCACTGGTAGGGTGGTAGGGTGTGGTATGTATTTTGTGAACACCCATGATTTTGCAAAGTTCTTTGATGATGTGTGATTCAAAGTCAGGCCCTTGGTTACTGTGCAAATGTTCAAGAATCCCATAGCGGACAATGAAATTACCCCACAGACAATTGGCTGTTTGAGCTTTCTGGTTTGGTGTTGGGATGGCAATGGCTTACTTAATAAACTGGTCTGTAAGTACAAAAATGTCCTTAATATTACTCAGGCTCTTTTGGTCCTTTGAGCATGATAGGCTCAAAGGAGCAGCGCTTTCAGGAAGGAACTTTCTCAGAACACAGTGTTAACAGGTTTTAATCTTTTCTCTCAAAATCTTTCCCTCAACATCTGCTTGGCCAGTAAAATCTTGTTCTCACCGAGGTTGAGAGTATGTACATTGCGTAAGCGTCCCATATCATCATGGAGACTCTGGAGGACTGCATCTCGAAACTGTTCCGGAAGAACAGTGTGTCAGGTTACAGAATCAACAACTTGATGTGTCCGGTACAGTATTTGATTGTGTAGCTCAAGAAGACTGAATTGTCTAATTAGCAAGGGGATATCAGGCAGTTGCTTTCTAAAGTTGGGTTAAACCTTGTTCCCAGTCTCAAGTTGAGCTATGGTTTCCCTCAAACATGGGTCAGCTTGTTGATTGGCTCTTAGCTGCTTTACTGGCATGTGGGGAATAACTAGTAAATCATCACACTGATCTTCATTTACAAACTCATCTGGTATAGCAGCTACAGACAAGGCTGAGTGTACTAGGGTGAACGCACACTCCACGTCTGTGTTTTCACTTGGATTACAGCCAAGGAGATGCTTCTCACATATAGCTGGTACCACATCTGGGCCAACTGTGATTCCTTGACCAGACAGATCTGTTTCAGTGAACCACTGTTCACTGAATGTACGTTCCTGCTCTTTTTTGTGAAACAGTGTCATTGAGCAGTTTTCGATGTGGTCACATTGAAAGACCATCTGCATCAGAATTCAGCTTTCCAGCTCTGCACTGAAGCTAAAAGTTAAACATAGAAAGTGCTGCTAGCCAACGATAGCTCACTGCATATATTAAAGGACTACTGTCACTGAACTGGCTACCATAAAGGTAATCACAAAGTTTTTTTGTAACTGCCCACTTTAGCGCTAAAAACTCTAATTTGTGGGCATGGTAATGAGACTCACTCTTACACAAAACCCTGCTAGCATATGCTGTGACTCTTATCTGACCCTCCTGCTCCTGATACAAGGCAGTACCAAGTCCCATAGTGAAAGGATCGGTATTGATTTAATTTAATTTCAATTCAATTTTATTTATACAGCGCCAAATCACCAACAACAGTCACCTCAAGATCCTTTGTATTTTAAGGTAGACCGTACAATAATACATACAGAGAAAAACCCAACAATCATATGACCCCCTATGAGCAAGGACTTTGGCGACAGTGGGAAGGAAAAACTCCCTTTTAACAGGAAGAAACCCCCAGCAGAACTAGGGAGGGATGGCCAGCCAGATTTTAAGTCGAGGACAGAGAACCACTGGGACTCACTCAGCGTGGAGAAGGTCTCCTCCAAATTCGGGAGCCCGTAAGCATCTTTCACTGTCTGCAAATTGAGCTTCCTGTAATCAACACAGAGACACATGTTCCCATTCTTTTTCCTCACCACCACTATGGGCGAAGAGAATGGTGACGTGGACTCCCTGATTACACCTGGCTGTTTAAGTTCTTGCAAATGCTTTTGGACAGCTTTACTGTGCTTAAATGGAATCTCATCAGACAGCTTACGCAGTGTTTTACCTGATCTCCCAAAGTCAAGTCATCTAGAACCACTAATGCAAGTGTGAGAACTTCAACCTCAGCACCCAAAAAGTCCTTGGGGAATACAACATTAATCTCAATGTAGCCTAGATAATGCATAGATTGGCCATTGGCTTCTTTAACCTCCAAAAGCTTAAGGATTGCTCTGATCTCATGTTGTGGCATGTTCTGATTGTAAAAAGACTCGGGAACTGTGGTAACCTGGGAGCCTGTATCCATTATGCAGCTATCACAATTGCCCTCCATTTGAACCTGTGCTGTAGTTTTTACCCCTATCAAACCTTTGGGTAATTTGAAATTACCTCGCTCAGCATGCAATGTTAATATCACACACTTCTTAGCAGTCACTTTAGGCTTCTTATCAGTCGTACGTGTTTGACCCGTTGCATTTCCCATCTGTCTCACGACAGGGAATGTCTTCAGTTTAATGAAGGTGTGTTCCTTTGCTGGCGTTCCCATAACTGCTGACAATTCTTAGTTCCTTCTTTTTTGCAGCTACCAAGGCATGAGTTGAATCTGACTCGCACGTGGCCACAATGTTACCATCCTCTCCACAATGAAAACACTAACACAGTTTTGGCTTTAAAGTAGAGGTGCTGTGTAAGAGGGCCCTGGTTTGGTCTTTGCATGGTCAGGTTTTTTTAGTTTCATCTTTCTGTATCTGTTCTTTCTTAGAAGCTATGGTTTTCATTTGTTCCATGAGGGAAATCAGTTGGCTTTTCAGGTCAGCTTTTTCAGATTTTTTAACCTGCTGATGTCGCTTGATGCAGATTCAGCCTGTATTTCACTTGCTGAACATTCTGTCTATGGGAGACAACCTTCAGTTTTGTAGTAAAGAGGTGCAGTTTTATTCAACTACTTTCTGTTTCTTGCCTATGTTCTGCAGTACGCAGCAGCCACAAAAGCTCAGCAAGTGATGGGGGTTCTTGATTCTTAAGTTCTAGCTGCAGAACAGCAAGCAAGTGATGGTCTCAACAGCCACTGTAAAACTGTTTCAGGAAGTGTTTGTTGACCTGTTGTGGCTGTATACCTCCCCTATATACAATGCGGTCAATGCCACCTGCAAGCGATGCAAGTAAGCCATAATAATCTTGCTACGTGTTCATGAACCTCACCAACAGTTCCTCCCCATCCTCAGCTGTGCCAAATGCAGAGTCTAACAACTGCAGGTAGGTAGTTGGTGGCACGTTGGGTCCAAAATGTCTAACTACATCTGAAGCTGGAATAAGAAGGCTCTTGAGTTTTTATGAGTCTTCTCCAAGTCAGAAACAGAAGTGTCCATCATTAGATCAACATGACCGTTCTGCCTAATTGTGTTTTATATAAATGACTGGCTACATACTTGGTACGTCAAAGACAACTCATTGGGCTCCCCTTCACTAAAGAAGTGAAAACATGATGGATCCTCCTCCTGAGCAGACAGTTGCCTGAGCAGTCATCCTGTTGGATTGTTCTGACTGTGTAGGGAATCCTGGTGAATCAAAATGTGGAACAGCATCTAGGACACTGATCAACAGATCCACTCTGACCTTGTGACAAGCTGACCTGCAGATTTAAACAAAATTACTTAATTTTGGTATTTCTTCCCTCTATTGTCACCTTGTAATTCATTATTGAATATGCTATTAATTCCCTGTGAAACAAGCTTAAAGATGTGTGCCATTTCATTCTTTATATTTACTGTTCTGCCGCTAGATGTTTTAGCAAATGAATTTTTTGCTACCAGTGAATCTCTTGCCTAAATGATGGAGAGCCTTGTAGAAGAGCCTGTCTGTGTGACTGATGCTGTCACTCCTGAGAGATGGCCTTTTTATGCTGCACTCTGTCACATAGTGGAGGTTCTTATCATTGTCTTCTGTTCAGCAGCAACTGTATATGTCCTGTCTCAATAATACGACCTCAGCCGAAAAATAATGTCATCAGTTTCAAAATGAGCCTATTTTGTCTTTGCTATTTTCTGATGTGACAAGCACTCAAAGCGCTTTGTACAACATGCCTCATTCACCCACTCATAGAAGCACTTTTGTTTTTTACTACACATAAGTGCTTTCTGTCACACTCTGATGAATGCATGACCTCTACTTCCTGAGCTACATCCACCCTGCATTACAATGGTGTATGCTAATATTAAGACAAATACAAAAAGTTGAGGTCAGCGTGCAGGAAATCTCTATGACCTAGCAGCTCAGGCTTCAGACTGCTCGAAGCACTCAGTTTCAGAGAGTTTTTCCTACTCTTGGCTCTGTTCGATGTCAGTGAGAGCGAATATATTTCTGTGTGGTCATCTCAGTCACACATCTGTGACTGTGAGCCACTCTTATGTTTTTTTAAGGCTAAAGTGGCCTGTTCCAGACAGATAACCTCAAGGGCTGCACCAGGGAAAAAGTAAATACTGTTGCCATAGTAACATGACGTTGTTACAGGTCTACAAAAAAAAGCTTTCTAAGCAAGAGGTTTGGCTGAACAATTTTTGAAAAATGAATGTGGACAATGTATGCCCATTCAACAGTTGTTACTTTTAACTATGACTACCATACCTTCCCTACATATCTATTTTCTAATTAGTTACCATTTCCAAAAGTGTTACAAGTAATGAGGTGTGATCAAAAGATTCTGAGAACAGATCTATAAAATCAAAAGCCTTATCTGATGTAAATATGGCCACTGTGACACTGAAGGTCAAGGAAGTTATAGGAGGCTAAAGGTGATGGCTGGTTGAGTCAGTGAGTGAGCATTGTCTTGGTGCAGGTTTGAGCCTGCACAAGATGGGACTCTTTTACGCACCACGGTTCTGATGTTTCGGCTAAATTTTCTCCGTCATTGTTGAATATCTTAAGAGCACGATGAGGGTCTTGATCTTACTTTGGAAACTGTAGTCTCTTGCACTGAAAACTGCTCTACCACACTTGAGCTCTCATCTCCAGTGAGGGTCTCTCACAGAAAAGTTGGGGTAGTTTAAAAGAGAAGTGGATGTAAATTTAAACTTCTAAAAATGTACAGTAGACTGGCACACCACACAGCAGAAGCAGTCAGTCGAGTATATTAAATAAACAGATATATTAGATATGTTGAAGCACAGTCGTATAGGATATTGTGAGGCTGACAGCCAATGGTCTGACTGTTTGGGCACTGAGAGGGGAAAAGGTGCCCCAGTTGCACACACACGCCATCTGTTGTAGTTTAGGATAATCCTTCACTCTGAGCAGATATGAGCACAGTGGATCTTAGTGTCTTTCACCAAATCCACAAGAAAACGCCGTTGCATCATGAGGATGAAATTGTCATGGGTCACTACAGCCTAATAGTTTTTATAATCAGATGTACGTGACACTTTATTTTTAGCACAATTCTAATCGTCCCATCAAAACCTTGTTGCTGTTTATCCAAAGGATGTGAAGGTCTTTTCAATGTGCACTGCTGTGTTGACAGCTTTTCTGATTTTCTGGGTTCTGATACATTCTGACAGCTCCCAGCCTTCAGTGCTTATTGAGCCAGTGCAGCTGACACATTGATACACAAAGTCAATCAGCATAAGACACCCCCGGGTGCTCACATCCTCAGCTTAGTGTCACTTTCCTGTGACCTGATTCGGAAGTCCTGAACACCTATTTTATACTCCCATCCCTCACACCTCTTCCCTGAGCTGAAATGAGATGTAAGATTATCATCTCTCCATCAGTGTGCCATGTCTGTCTCTTGCAGCCTTAGGGTTTAACACATGCATTTATTAATGCTGAAGCTGAAACAACTGGACTTGTTTTCTTGTTTTGGAGTTCTCAAGCATATCACATAGTCTTATTGACCAGGAAAAGTACAGTTTATATTTATGTGCTAAACAAGAAAAGATTGGGTTCTAAGACAACAGGAAAGATGAGTGCATTTTGAAATGGATGTGAAAACAGTTTCCATTCCTGTACCTGTACGTCTTGTGCCTTATTAAACTCAGTCTCTCACAAACATTGCTAAAATGGTTATTCTTCTAGCGGACAGCTCATGTAAATAAACGCAATGAAAAAATGTGACCATGAGCCTATTGCCCACTTGTGGCATTAATAGATCAAAAGTTTCCTAAAAATGTTGGTGGATGTAGGACACAAAAGGAAATAATGCTGTTTTCTGCTGTTAACTTATCTGCTTTCACAAGCTGGTGAGTATTCACATTTTTGTTGGCTGCTCATTTAATATGCCATCTGTGTGTTAGACATCATGATGTGTGATGAACATTTTTCAGAGAATATGAGAAACACATATGTGGATCATGGGCACATTGGTGACGTTTTGCAGAATTTATTTCAAGTTTCTTGTAAAAATGGACAGTTTGTCCTTTCCAAACTCCCACTGTGCATGTACTGAATGTTTTGTGATATGATGCAGGAAGTAAAAGTAAAAGCCGTGAATTCATTGGAGCTTGGTATTTGTGTGTGTCTACAGGCGGAATCCCCTTCATTTCCATTTCATCACAGACTCCATTGCTCAGCAGATCCTGTCCTCCTTGTTTCATACATGGATGGTTCCTGCCGTCAGGGTGGACTTCTATGACGCAGATGAGCTGAAGGTGGGGAACACAGACTCCATCACCCTGCTTTACTGATTGGGCTGCTTAATGATCTCATGGCTACTGCTTTATTTAATGCGAAACATTATGAGCTATTTCTATTTAACAGTAAATGATCCCAACCCTTATTTCCTCTTGTGTTTCAGTCCGAAGTCTCATGGATTCCTAACAAACATTACTCTGGGATTTATGGGCTAATGAAACTGGTACTGACAAAGACCCTGCCATCAGATCTACAGAGAGTCATCGTTCTAGACACAGACATCACCTTTGCCACTGACATTGCTGAACTCTGGGCCGTCTTCCACAAGTTCAAAGGTAATGCAACTCCTTTTCTCTCAGATGGCCCCGCCCCTCCCTGTTTGGTGTTTCTCTGTATTATTATTATTGTAGAGTCTTTGAACTCTGAACTTAAAAATGCAAAGCTGAGATAATTTGGACATGCAGAGGAGTGAGAGTGGATATACTGAACAACAGATGGTTAACATGGACTGAAAGCATGAGGAAAAGAGAAAGACCTCAGAGGAGGTTAATGTATGCAGAGGCTGGAGGATACAGGGACATGGTGAGATGAAGACAGATGATCCAGCGTAGCAAGCTCAAAAGGAAGCAGCTAAAAGAAGGAGAAAAGAATAATGATAAAGAAAATAAAGTGCCACAAGGTGACTGCTTTTGGGATTTGGTAAGAATAAATAAAACTTAGTTGAACTAAACATACAACATTCCTCTGTTCCCACTTTTATGAAATGTAAAAAGCTTAGTTTTGTTTTAGAAACTGTTGTCCAGACACGTTGCTATTATTGTTTCTACTGAAAATGTCAAGCGTCCTCATATCAGTGAGAGTAACAGAAAAACCTCTCTGTGTGATGCACTTCAATAGCATCGCAAACTAAAACCTCCAAAATGTTCTTATTCTTTAATCAACACTTCTCCAGTTCTACCTTCATAAAAGATGTGATATACTGGATTAGTTTCACTGACGTGCACCTATAACTTGTTCTGTGAAGTATGTGCACTGGCCTGTTCTGTTCTTCTTATTCTAAATGTGGGAATTCTTCTTTGTTTGGATACCTAACCTGCTTCAGTATATTGAGGATACTACAGAGCTCTACATGCTGAGCATGTTTGTCCAGTCTAATGTAACTGCTGGGAGAATGGGCCTTCTGGAGGCATGCAGCCGCGAGCTCTTCAACAAGCAACCCTCCTCCCAGCTTCCATTCATAAGCGAAAGCCAGGATCACGGGGCAATATTTCACCATCATATGATCACAGTTTGATTGCGTTAGTGTAATACCATCATGGCAGGAGATGCAATTTATATTTAATTTACACATTAAGTCTCTGGCAAGCAAATTGACGGGACACAGATCAGACCACAGAGACCCGTGTCTGAATTTCTGCCCCTGCCCTTCTACACAAGACGGGGCTACGGTGAAATTTTCCCTCTGAACGGTTCCTGATGCAAATCCAGAATGAGTGAACTTCTCACTTAAGACAGCCTGTGGAAAGAGAGAATCTGAGCATAACACAAAATGAGTGGCCCCGGAATCTGCAAGAAATTCCACTTCCTGACCACAAACTAACGAGGAGTGATTTATAAGGTGCACTATCTGAATGTACATATGTACCAGCCGGCAACGCAGAAACATTACAAGTTACAAGTAACGTGTTATTGTAATCTGATTACTTTTTTCAGGTAATGAGTAAAGTAAGGGATTACTATTAACCCCTTACTTCACTCATTACTTGAAAAAAGTAATTAGATGACTGTTACTTTCTCATAAGCACGCTGCGCTACTGCGTCACCAAACAATGATTTTGTAAAGCTGTCATGAGCTGTGGTGCGCGGGCACGAAAGGATCCAGGCGCAGACTCCGTGCTAACAGAAAAACACTATTGTAACAATGAAAGGCGACCCGGGGAAACTAGAGAGCGAAACAGGAAACTAAAAAACCGGGGAAACAATGACACGAGGAAGCCGGGATCGGGACGGTGGGGGCTGCAATAGAAAGGGGAGATGATTACTAGGGAGCCAGGAAACGGGGAAAACACATCAGGACTGAGTTAGAGTAGGGGGCTTACGATAGAACGGGACCGTGGGAGCTCGGGAGGGAAGTGTGGCAGTCCGTGGGGGCAGGAAGTCCGTGGAAATGGTGAGTGGGCCAGGTGAGCACCGCGAGATCCAGTTGAGCCGGAGGACAGGCAGGTAGCAGACGCCGAGTAGAAACCTGGACAGAAGTAGGCAGGTTAAACACAGTTCCAAACCAGCAGAGAATGCACGCTTTTCGTGGAAGTCTGGTTACCACTGTGGGGATGACTAACGGACTGGCGTGGAGCATCCGTCAGCGCCGGGTTAAGTAGATCTCCGTGTAGTCACCGTGATGAAGAGCAGGTGTGCTGGTGATGACCCAGCCCGGGGGTGTGGCTACCCGAGCATCACGCATTCCACAGACACAGGACCACGGACCATGACAAAAGCGTGGAAGTACTGACATTACTTTGAGTTTGATTCCGTAAAAAGGGACAGAAACATCAATAATGTGTACTTTATTGATCCCTGTGGGGAAATTACTTTCTGCATTTGACCCATTCACTCAGTGAAGCAGTGGGCAGCCACTAAGCAGGCGCAGGGGAGCAGCGTGTAGGGACGGTACCTTGCTCAGGGGTACCTCAGGGTAGCCGTTCAGTGGATTCAAACCCCCGACCTTCCGATCATGGGGCGACCACTCTACCTACTGAGCTATCCCTGCCCCCTTAGCGTCTGCTGTGAACTGTGCGTGGGAAGAAAATCTGAGCAAACACCGAGCACACTGCCACAGGAATGTGAAGTTCACAGAGAAACCCCCAGATCCCCCCACTGACATGACCGCTGCAGCACCGGGCAAACTTCCACCCGCCCCACTCCTGCTAAACAGGTGAAAATAGATTTAAGAGCGACAGGACTCAGTGCAGCTGAATCTTTGATTTTATTTCATCTTTGCTGTGTTTTACTTGCATCTATTTGAAAGAGTGAGTGTAAACACAAAAAATTTTTATTTTATATTTTTGAAATATGCAGAAAACAGGTTTAAATGTTAAACAAATTTCTTCAAGTCAAAGACAGCTACATATAATTTTTGCTTAATGCAATGTGCATAAAATGTAAACATTAAAACTCGTAAAACTAATTTTAAAAAGAGACTTTTTTCATTTGATTAATTTTATATGATGGATTATGCAGAAAAAATAGAATTGGGTTGAAAGGTCTATTGTTTTATTACGTATTCAGGTTGTGTATCATATTTTTAACAAGTAACTGAGTACTAACGTAACTAATTACTTCTGAAAATAAGTAATCAGTAAAGTAATGGGATTTCTTTCTTGGAGAAGTAATCAGTAATTAGTAACTAATTACTATCTTCTAGTAAGTTGACCAACACTGCTAATAAGTTCATTAAAAATAATATGTTGAAAAATGTTACAGGAACCTAAGCTATTTGAGTTAGTAGTGTGTGTGAATGGGTGGATGTCTGGCTGTGTAAAGCGCTTTGGGGTCCTTAGGGACTAGTAAAGCGCTATACAAATACAGGCCATTTACCATTTTAGTAGGAGTGTTTTTAAAAAATAAGTTTACATTAATTTATTTAAGTAGTTTGAGTGTTTGGGTTTACAGCTAGATTACACCTCTTAGGGTGAGTAATTGGGCCAAAGAGCTGCGCCTTGTCTCTGTCACTACCACTCACACTCCTGCTTAGTTCAGGTGCTGTAGGAACATTCGGACAGTGCTGTTTTTGATTTATTTCATGATGCAGTCTAACACTGAATAACTGTTGCCTGTGGGGGTTTTTTCACTTGGAACTCAACTAATTTCACACAAATATTGTGGCCATCCAGTTTGATTAACCTTTATAAACTATATCTTTTTGTATTTGAGCTCTAATTATCCTGCTCAGGCAGATCTGCGTTCTTTGTTTCGTAGCCTTTGTAAAGGAGCACCCTGCTCTCTGTTGCCTGCTGCAATAAGCTCTCATTAATCTTCCTTATAGCCTTCATTAAACCTGCCACCACTGCACCCATGCTCTTCTCTCCAGGCTCCCACTGCCTCTTTCCTCAACCTTTATCTCTGCCCAGCTGCCTTCAGTAATCTCTCACCTTAAAGCCCGCATACTCCCCTCCTCCTCTCTTCTCTTAATCTCCCAGTTATATTTAATTCCACCCACTTGCTGTCTTTATACTTTTTGTTCAGTGACTCAAAAGCTTTAAATGTATGAGTGAATTCAATTCTTGCTTCTTTTTATTGCAGCGTGGTTCCATTTATGAGGCAGCAATTAAAGTTTTTGACACTTTGTTGTGAATTTAACATAAAAGCTGGTTTTATGATATGATTAGGTTTCTATTGGATCTGGATGTTATGATATTTGACCCTAAAGTGTCTGCTACTGATGCGTCTTTCTTGCAGAGAGACAATTGATAGGAGAGAACTCCACATAGAAAAGCCCCGGCCAGATAGTGAATTCAAACCCAAGACCTTCTTGCTCTGAGGCAACAGTTTTTCACTCCACTATTAAGCTCATGTTATGTCATTCGTGCAGTTTTAATCTACTGTTACTGCTATTGAAACACTTTCTCAAATGATGCAATCAACCCGCTCTAGAAACGAGCAGATTGTTTCTATAAATTCTCTTATCTAAACAATCTACATATGTCCTTTCAAAGTCTTGCTGAACTCGGAGTGCGGAGTAGAGAGACATTGGACCCAAATGCAGACGCTTTGGACGGACTTAAACCGAAAGTGAGCCTTTATTAGCAGCGGAACAGGACACAAATGCAACGTGAAAAGAGACAACGAATAAACTACAAAGCCTAAACTGGGAAGAAACTAAAACATAGGCTCATAGCAAAATAACCGGCATGAAATGGGGAAAGTAGAACCCTCAGGGGAGATACACAGTCCATCCAGCAGCAAACCTTAAATACACAGAGGGGTAACGAGAGGATGGGAAACAGGTGGGAACACAGCTGGAGCTAATCTAACAAAATGAGACAGAAAACATGAGACATTCACAAAGATGCAGACTTGAGGCTGAGACATGGAGACACAACTGACTAGGGAGACACAGGAAATGCAGAACATAGAGACAAGGGTGTCTCGACATGAAACAAGGAACACCGACTATATGCAGGCTAGATAAAAGTTGAGGAAGAACTAAGATCACTATGAACCTAAGAAATAAAGATAACCAAAACCATGAATAACGATAATCAAAGAATATTATATTATATAAATCAAAAAACACAAACACTGGGTCACCAGATCCAGGACTGTGGCATACAGTTATTCCTCCCAATATAATCATGATGTTTTGTCCTCATCCCTTATGAAATGCCTTTATTTTTTTCCTCAAAATACTACAAATCAGTAATTACTAATGACATTGCAGCCACTGTGCAGCAGGTTAGAGTTGAATGAATTGAAGGTTGTGGAGATAAAAAGGTGCTTGTTTGAGACAAAAAAACAAAACAAAAAACAAGTGAGAACAGTCATGATATGTATGTGTCTGGCAGGCCAGCAAGTTCTAGGTCTGGTAGAGAACCAGAGTGACTGGTATCTGGGGAACCTGTGGAAGAACCATCGACCCTGGCCAGCACTGGGCAGAGGCTTTAACACTGGTGAGTACCTTATAACCTGCTTTTAGCATGTTAGCTGTGTAAAGCAAAGTCTAGATGACTGAATTTAAGAAAGGAAACAAAATGAGAAAATGTGAATGAGAAACAACACTTCTGGCGTCTAGCTGGTCTTAAGGAAG